AAACCTCCGAGGCCGTAGGTGGTTCCACGTTCACCGTCCAGGGTTCTACTTCACCTGTGGGCTGTCGATGAGTGTCGGCTAGTGGCCACGACAGTTGTTGTTCGGAGTATTTGGCCCACCGGTCGAGGCGTTCTTCTTTGTCCGAGATGGTTGTTCCATTCTGATATTTGATGGTTCCACTCACAGGTAGATTCCGGGTACCAGTCGCACGGATCAACTGAAATACTCTCCGGACATTACCCGCTTTCTGGGCCTCTTCCATTTCTTTGGCTTTCTGTGTCCACCATACTTCACGGTCGGATGGCAAGCTCACTTTCACTTGGCGGCTGATAACTCTGCGCATCGGTTTATGTTCGGGACCGGCTGGGATATTTCTTCGAGATTTAAGTAGCCCGTCATATACAACAGATTGGCGAATTAGCAGATACAACGATTTGTTCCACATTTCCAACTAGACGACTTGTTCAGCATACTGTTCCCTGAAACACCAACTGTCGTGGTGTCCGGTGCTCTGTCTAAAGAGGCCATTCTTCTGCCATTTACATGGAGACGTGAGTCTCCTCTTGTGTACCTCCGAATTTCGGAGCTTGAAAGCTTCTTGGAGAGCAAAATTTTATTATTATTATTGTTATTATCATTATTATTTGTTAGTTGATTTTCACTGATGTTTTGTGAGTGATAACAGAACCCGAAATAACCTCGAGTTCACATCTGGTGCGCCAGGGGTGTGATCTCATCGCTTGCCATAGAGGTTTTTCCTAGACAACCGAAAGAGGACGGCGAGAGCCCAAAACACGTCAGTCATCGCGCTCACACACACACACACATAAGACTATGCTGTAAGCTAAGCCGATCTGCACTTAGAAGCTGAGAGCTGTTTCATTGGAACTGATCAAAACTGATCTTTTCACGTACTACCTTGCAAATTAGAAGAAGCTACCTCCAGCCTCGTGACTGTTAGATCAGTAGTGTGATTAACAGATGTGGCACCACTCATCCTTCAGTGAAACAGTTCACATCACGTGGTCACGTGTTGACTCACTGACCGGCTCACATTTGACACAGAATTATACGACCATTAAAACAGACATTCTAAGGCCCATAAACTTACGTGGATATCAGAGAACTCTACAACCACTGGTAGGCCCTCGAATGGTATTAACCTCCAATGACAACGCAAATTTGAGGGCAGGGTATGCGGATAGCCAGGTGACACGAAATATCCGGGTGTTTTCACAGAAATCGTGCCTCCGCAAGTGACTATGGTGAAGATAGAAGGGATCCAAGAAAAGTAAGTGCAATACTGCTCCAAAAAAGGCGAGTGATTATTTACTTGTTTGCTTTGTGAGTGAGTGAGTGAGTGAGTGAGTGAATGAGTGAGTGAGTGAGTGAGTGAGTGAATGAGTGAGTGAGTGAGTGAGTGAGTGAATGAGTGAGTGAGTGAGTGAGTGAGTGAATGAGTGAGTGAGTGAGTGAGTGAGTGAATGAGTGAGTGAGTGAGTGAGTGAGTGAATGAGTGAGTGAGTGAGTGAGTGAGTGAATGAGTGAGTGAGTGAGTGAGTGAGTGAATGAGTGAGTGAGTGAGTGAGTGAGTGAATGAGTGAGTGAGTGAGTGAGTGAGTGAATGAGTGAGTGAGTGAGTGAGTGAGTGAGGTGAAAGCTGCATTAGCTAAATCGAATGAGGGCGCATCCCAGATTTTGCACCGGGCAAGTTTAGAGTTTCTATGACTCATTTGAGTTGGAAATTCTCTGGTTATTCTGGCGAACTACGAGGATGTTGAAAATTAGAAACAATCTGGTTGATAAAAATTACCGAACTGCATTTACATCATCTAAGATTTATGGAAAATACATTACTGATAACGTCTAATAAGCGTGAGAACTGAGTCCAGCGCTTCCTTGCTTTGTACCGTTAAATCAGACGAACTGCTCTGGTAGGGGACGAAGACCACTCAAACAAGGGTAATGTGATTACGAATTTCACAAATCCTGCAACTACTGTTGTGGCAAACATTACGCATTTGTCTCCCAAGTTCTCACGTGATACGATTTAGATGGCTTCTATTAATGGACAATTTGAGGCCCCATGAGGTTTTTAACCACCGGTGTCTCAGAAGCGTTGCTGGTCTAGCATGCCCTCAGCCGGTTCGTAACGATGTAATTAGAAAACGGGTGTTCCGTTGTGTAGTCAGTCACGAAAAAAATTCAGCACCCTCAGATGCGGTGACTTGGCCATTTCGAGTGTTGTTCTCCGTGTCTTCTACAGGAAAATCACGAGGTGCGTTTGCCAGAAGAGCATGAAAAGGATTACGAAGAGTTTGAGTGTTGTTGGCGCGGTAGGCCTTCCAGAATGGGTCCCAATGACCCTTCCTGCGCTTGGCTAGAGATATTTCAAGAAATGGTGGATGATCGATGTCAGTGATGTTTTCACCGTCAGTTTGTTTCCAGATTGTCTGATTACCCGCTTGGAAATGTGGACAACTCAGAATGCTTGCGATAAGCAGGGATCCCTCCCTCACCCAATCTTTTCCTTTCATTTTAAGATATCAAATATAATTAGATGAACTTAGTGGCTGTAACGTAGTAAAGCACTAGTGTCAACATTGATGTTTCGGTCTCTGACGATGAGGATGATTGAAAACTTGCACCCCACGTTTGATAAGCAGGCCTCCCTCACCCAATCTTTTCCTTTCATTTTAAGATATCAAATATAATTAGATGAACTTAGTGGCTGTAACGTAGTAAAGCACTAGTGTCAACATTGATGTTTCGGTCTCTGACGATGAGGATGATTGAAAACTTGCACCCCACGTTTCGGTTCATTCCAGTGCTGAACGGTCCGTATACATTCTGACACAGTCTAGTTACAGTGCGTTAACTCGGAACACACAACGATGGGCTGTTGTGCGACTAGCGTAGGAGTGGGTCGTCCCTTCAACTGACAGTGTTAGTTGCTCTAAAGAGTGTCTTACATCACATAGGTGGACAAATTTCCAAGGTGTCGCTGCTAGATTGTGCCACCGCAACCGTATTGCTCCGCAGCCAATCAACAACCATGAGTGTATCGATTGGCTGTCAGATTGTCCGCATCTGATTGGTCGTCCAAATGGTGCGCTGAATCTCCCCAGGAATATATTCTTCATCCTCGAGCTCCAAACTCGGGGTGAACTACACTTCCAGGGAAATGTGCCCCTCTCCCGGCTGTATTGTTGTAAAGCCGCGACACGTTTACCCTATCTGCTGGGGGCGGAACGTCTTTGTGAGATACGGGTTTCTGTGCTCCTCATTAGAACTAAAAAAACAGAGGTAACATACTACTCATAAGGCTACTGAAAATTCTTCGACAGCCCACCACCGGTTTCGCCCGTCTTAGAGCCCATTGGGTGGGCACAGTTACCGAGTCTCCCGCAAAACCAAATTTGTTTGCAAATGAGTGTATTTCAAGACTTTGATAGTGTTCACTGATAGCTACCGTAACAGGCATCACGCTGATTTGTTCCGTCTTCCCAGATCAAGACACCAAAGGCCCCTTTAACCAGCAAGAGTTTCGGGTCAGGAGTATGCGAGGAGATTTTGGGCAAACGATCTGACCAGCACACCTTAAAAGAGCCGGTAGAAGTAAACTTCACTTTCTGCAAGTGTCGCTAAAATGAACACACCCTACGCATGCCTGTACATCTCACTCACCTGGTTTATAGAACATGACAACATGGCTTGAGTTTGAAATTATTCTCGCGCGGTAGGACAGTGCGTAACCACTGGAAACAACCATTGGTGGAATGTCCAAACCACAGTACTTTCCGATCACTGGGTAGAATCTGCTGGGCCCGTCGTAAAGTTCAAAGTATTCATCGGTACAAATGTCGTATCTTGATGGACCTCGCAACTGCATTCAAAGCGAAAAAAGTGCGAAACAAATGGTTATGGGAGCACATGAACCAGTTGTCTACTTTAAAAAAAAACGAATTGTTTCTTATGCCGGTAATCAGGAGATGACAAAGCACGGTGCTAAAATTAGGATCTGCCTCCAGCCGATTGAGGTGGCAGTTGTTGTCGTTTTCGTTGTCGATACTGTTGTCGATGAGGGGGAGGACGATGATGTAAGAAAGCCGTGGAGGAAACCACGAATTTCGGGAAACTGTCCAATAGATGAGCTGAGTGGACAAAAATGAACAAGTTTGACTACCTGAGGTCCCGGTTAAGCTCTGGTCCTCTCTTTTCACGAATGATTTCACCAACCTCCCCCCGAAGAATGTACACTTGAAAATCCCCGTACTTTGCGGATACAATTCCAACAAAGCTTCACAGAAATACCGGAACGTCAATCTAAATAAACACCGAAAGGCAGTGCTTGCTTTACCACAAGTTTCACAAACAAAGTACCAAGTGGATAATGAGGCGACTTTCATTAACTTGGTGCCTTTCTTCTACCTTAACAGAACTGCCAGTTCGCGGCGCGTCGGACTGGCGTACAGCCATTTCAGAATGAAAACGGCTTTTTAAAATCATTACATGAACGTGGAATTCTAGTTGAATTTGCCTCCAAACACTAGTCGAACGATTGGACTTAGTAGGGAGTCTCGGACATCTGTCGCGAAACGGCAAGATGACGCTGCGCGCAAACCCGTGGCACATATGCAAACCTGAGAGTGTCCGATCGGCTGGGAAACGTGTAGCGCCTTAAGCTTATCGTTACACCTCAACAGTCACCTGGTTAGCATTGGGAGACGGTCGTTACTCTCT